GGGCCGGCCCCATTGTCCATATGAATGGCGCACGGACAAGCATCATGCTTTTCCATTTCGGTCCTGACTCGAGCCAGAAAGGGGAACAAATCGTCCCCCCTCCCGCGGCCCCAGGGCGCTTTCAACACCGAGCCCTTGTCGGCGGGACGCTCCCGGGCGCTGAAGTGATGAGCCCGCTGCCCAAGGTCCCACCGGCGCGCCGTTGAAGACCCCTGCTGTCATTCTGGAGATGGTGGTGGTACGGCATCCTGCTCCTCTGCCGCATCGAATCCATCGTTCGACCAACCATTGCACCCATTGGGTTGGTCTGGGAGAGAGGAAGAGCTCATCACATGGGAGTGTGGAGGCCCAGCCAAGACTGCTCATCAAGGGGTCTCTTGAAGACGAGTCAAGATGCTGACGGACCCCGCGACTTGAGCATATGCGAGCCATCCCGCTTCGTCTTGTCTTCAACGCACAGCGCACACTCTCTTTCCCTCGATTCCCTCGCATTTCTACACTCCCTAAACGCCAAACTTTAATCCTCAAGTTTGTAAACGCCGTGCCGGATCAAGCCAAGAAAACATGGCCACTCCGGAATCGAACGTAGATGTGTAAGCATCCTCACTGGCAGTCTCCTCACCAAAAGAGTCCTCCTTAAGCAACATTTCACTAACGTCACTTCTCACAGGCTCATCATCGGTGCCGGCCCTGCGGGGTAAGTTCAAACAGCGTGACATGACGCTTTCTTTTCTCCAAACCCTTGATGCCTAGCGGACTGACGAGTGTGAATGCCGGCATAGGTTGATGGCAGCCGCCTGGATGGCGCATTGCGGCGTTAACGCTCGCATTGTCGACAAAAGAAACACAAAGATCTTTTGCGGCCAGGCGGATGGACTCCAATGTCGCAGTTTGGAGATATTTGACTCGCTCGGCTTCGCGGATCGGGCCTGGAAAGAGGCCAATCACATGATTGAGGTATGGATGATAAGTACAACTCTGTTACCGAATGTCTCACGCTGACTTATTCTATCAGATTTGCATGTGGGTATGTGACCATTCCCACCATCACCCCAAGGCCGTTGATTAAAACGATACTGACAATATTTAGAACCCCGGCAATGATGGTGTTATTCGCCGCAGCGACAGAATCCCGGACACCATCGTCGGTCTCTCGCGCTTCCAGCAGATCGTCCTACAGCAGGGGCGCATCGAGCGGTTCTTCCTGGAGAACATCAAGAAGCACTCCAAGGACGCGATCAAGGTCGAGCGGGGGGTCCTCCCCGAGTCATTGGAGATTGACCTGTCCAAAGTGGACGATGACGCCGCTTATCCGGTGACAGTCAAGCTTCGCACACTGAACGAGGAAGAGTCTACCCCTCCTCAGGCTGCCAACGCGAGCAAGATCCCTGACGGCCTGTTCCGGAGCAACTTGATCCGGGACGATGACGAGGCGGACTTGCTCAAGAAGGCCCAGGACAGAGCCGGCGCGAGTGAGATTGTTCACGCCAAGTATGTCATTGGCTGTGATGGCGCTCGCAGTTGGACTCGGAGAGCTCTTGGTTTTGAGCTGGATGGAGAGGCTACTGATTTCATCTGGGGCGTCATGGACATCATTCCCATCACTGACTTCCGTATGTTATCCCCCTAATCATCTTGACGTGGATGCGAGGCTGACACCTGAACCTACGCAGCCGATATTCGCATGCGTTGTGCCATTCACTCCGCCGAGAACGGCAGTTTGATGGTCATTCCTAGAGAGAACAAGCTTGTCCGCCTGTACATCCAGTTGAAGGAGGTCGCCCCCGACGCGTCTGGAAGAGCAGACCGCTCCAAGATCACACCCGAGCTCATCTTCGGCGCTGCGCAGAAGATTCTAAGCCCGTACAAGATTGAGTATGAGTACTGCGACTGGTGGACTGCATATCAGGTGAGTTTGATACCGGGCGCATTTCACAACTGTAATGGCTCTTGCTTATTAACTGCAATAGATCGGTCAAAGAGTCGGTACCGAGTACGACGCCCACGGCCGTGTCTTCCTCGCCGGTGATGCCGTTCACACCCACTCTCCCAAGGCCGGCCAAGGCATGAACGTCTCCATGCAAGACTCATACAACCTCGGCTGGAAAGTTGCCCTCGCCGCCAAGGGTATCGCGAAGCGCGACATCTTGAGTACCTATCAGAGCGAGCGCCGCCGCGTTGCTCAGGACCTCATCGAGTTCGACCACCGCTTCAGCCGTCTCTTCTCCGGCCGCCCCGCCAAGGACGTTCTGGACGAGGAGGGCGTTAGCATGGAGGTCTTCAAGGATGCATTCCTCAAGGGCAACTTATTTGCGTCTGGTCTTTCTGTTGATTACGGTGCCAGCAACCTGGTCGTCAAGGCCGGCGACTCGCTGAAGCAGGGTGACGGCAGCAAGGTGCTCAAGTCTGTCGCCTCCATTTCCGAGGAGGACTTCAAGAAGAAGCAAGCGCTGGCCACTGGTCTGCCCGTCGGTATGCGCTTCAACAGCTTCAAGGTCCTGAATCAAGCCTGCGCTCGCCCTTGGCACTTCCAGGAGATTCTCAAGGCCGACGGTCGTTTCCGCGTCGTGCTCTTTGCGGGTAATATCCTTGATGCGTCACAGAAGGCTCGTGTAGACAAGTTCTGCGCGGCTCTCGACGCCCCCGACAACTTCCTCCGCAAGGTCACGCCTGCAAACGCTCCCCTTGATAGCGTCATTGAGGTTCTGACTATTCACTCTGCGAAGCGCACCGACACGGAACTACTGAGAGACTTCCCTGATATCTTGCATCCTTTCGATTCGCACACTGGTTGGGACTACAACAAGGTGTACGTCGATGATGAGAGCTACCACGAGGGCTTTGGAGATGCATACAAGAACTATGGCGTTGACAAGCAGAGGGGTTGCGTTGTGGTTGTGCGACCCGACCAGTATGTCGCGTGGATTGGTGAGCTCGAAGACTTTGATGATTTGCAAAAGTATTTTGAGGGATGTCTGGTTCTGAGCCAGCCCGTTTCCAATGGGGTTAATGACACGAACGGAACTTCATTGCCAGTGCAGTAAGTTAGCTCAGAGTCCCGTCGTCAACAGTTGTACACAAGTAGCCAGTAGGTCGTTTAGATAATGTATCATCCATACCTACAAATACCAACATCGAAGATAATAATAAGTCGCTGGTGAACAGACTGCATGCACGTTCTGCCACATAAATTTGACCGAGAAGACGGTGTTGCTCCCGTGCCCAAACAATACATCAAATGTCGCGTTGTGCTTCTCGATGGAATTGCAAACTAAGGTAGTTCACCGTCAAAAGAATAGAGGCCTCATTCTACGTCTAGGTACAAGCTATCGCATAGTGGTAGCTTACACATTGACATGCAGCTTTTAATCGGGTATAAAGCCTTTCTATGCCTACTGACATCTTGTGGTTGTTCAGTTCAATCTTATCCTTTTCCGTTACTGGGAACCATCTTGAACAGACGCAACAACGGCCAACATTCGGAATGTTCCGGGCCTGCTACCCGTGCGTTGGCTGATCAGCTTCAGGGGCTCTACCTCTGTTAGCTCTGTCTCACCACGAGGCGCCGCTCCCCTCACTCTAACATTGAACCTTATAAGCTCCCCGCTGTGGGGATAATTGCGCTAATCATGAAGAATGAAGATGTCGAGTAGTACTCCAGAAAGCGTTGAAATGGGTTCAACCGTTCAGGTGAGGGCAGTGGTTTAGTTGAGCTGTTGTACAAGTCACCTCAGTTTGAAACCATGTCATTCTAACTGGCATACTCTGTAGCGAGAATCGCTCCATAACGCGCTTCGGTGATGGTCACATGGAATGTCAACAGCGCGAGAAGTCTCCCTGGAGAGCGGTTCTTTCATGATGTTCGTCGCAACTATGCTCCGGGTTAGTAGTCAAATGCTAATTCGTATTGAGACTCAGAACTCTTCATGTCCCTGGTGTCATTCAAGCGAGACGCCTGCCATCCGATGGCCAAGACGGCACTCCCCCTGTTGTAGAATGCCGCTAAAGTATCACAGACCCTTAGCCTTAATCAAAAGGACTATGCTTCGCGGGAGATGTGCGCTGCTTCCCCCTCGCCCTAGAGTATCATATTGAAACAGCCTCGGTCAATTGCCTCATTTCTCATTTAAAAGAAACGCTTCGATATTGTTCGGAGAATTAGACGCCGCTTTCGACTCGAAACAGTGGGCGATCTTCTTTTTAGTCGACCCTCATCACAAAGCTTACTCTTAAGATCGAGGGAAAACTTAGAAAGGACCACAGCGCATGGATGATTCAAGCCACCCGCACTGACCGAAATCATCACACCATCAACTCCTAAGGGAACTACTGTGCCTGGCCCTGGTGTAGAACTCATCCAGAGCACTTGAGGGATCTAGGATCTAGAGCAGTCTTGCCTCTTCCGCCGCCGGCATCACCACACAAGGCGTTTCCCGCTCCACCCCCAGGATTATTAGCTGAGTTTACTAGAATTGAGCAACATCCATCAAACAACCACGCCCCCACTAATGGCGCAAGTATGTGCAAATGAGGAAAACGCTGCGACCTCGGTTCGTCTGAGCGCTCATTCCATGTCGACTTGGACGTCTAGTCTCTCTGAACTGCCCAAGACCAACTTCCACATGACGCTATTTTCAGTGTTCAACCATGTCGCATTACTCTTAGCTCAGTAAGCTCACCTTTCTATCGGTGATTTACAGCCTTCCGTGAGTGTTGACAAATGTTTATCCCACCTGGGAGTGGCAAGACAGTGGCCAGCCAGATCTGTTGATACATGTATATAAGTCGAGAACTTCTTCCGCAAAGTTGTTGTATCTCTTCTTCTCATCATCGCATCACGGCCTCAAACATTCCTTCATTCTTCTCAATTCCGAAGCAAGTCTTCCATTCTATTCTTGGCACAAAGCTGAACATTCGTTTACACTCTCATTCCTTCCAACTATCTTCATCATTTACTTCAACATTTCAGCGACACCGAGTCACATCCACAATCTTTCAAAATGAAGGGCACAGTTTTCGCAACCTTTCTCGCCGCCTTCTCGGCCGGCGCCTTGGCCCACAAGGGCAGCTACGATAGCCCTACTGAAACCACCGGTGGCCAATCCGGAGGAAAGACCGGCGGCAAATCTGGTGGCGGCGGTGGATTCGGACTCCCTGGCTCCGGTAGCGGCAGCGGCAGCGGTGGTCTTAGCGGCATTCTTCCCACTGGGCTGCCCATCGGAGGCGGCAGCGGGGGTGGAATTGGCGGCCTTCCAGGCGGTATTGGTGGTGGTAGCGGTGGCCTGAGTGGCCTTCTCCCCACTGGACTGCCCATCGGAGGAGGTAGCGGGGGAGGTAGCGCAGGTGGCATTGGTGACATCCTTGGCGGTGGCAAAGGCAACGTTCTCCCTACTGGGCTTCCAATCGGCGGTGGCAGTGGAGGAGGATATGGAGGTGACGATAGCGGCAGTGGCAGCGGCGGCATTGGAGGTATTCTTCCTACCGGTCTTCCCCTTGGCGGTGGAAGCGGCCTTGGAGGTCTCCCAGGTGGAAGCGGCAGTGGCAGTGGTAGCGGCGGCATTGGAGGCATTCTCCCCACCGGCCTCCCTGGTGGTGGTGAGGGCGGTATTGGCGGTCTCCTAGGAGGTGGCGGTGACAAGGGCCTCGTTCTTCCCACTGGCGGAAGCGAGGGAGGCATCGGTGGCCTTCTTGGTGGTGGTGGAAATGGCGGCATTGGCGGTGCCCTTCCTACCGGCCTTCCTATCCCGGGTATTGGCGGCAGTGGCAGCGGAAGCGGAAGCGGAAGCGGCGGCCTTCCCATTCCCGGCATCGGAGGCAGCGGTAACGGAGGAAGTGGGGGCATCGGCGGCATCATTCCCACTGGCCTCCCCATTCCCGGAATCGGCGGTAGCGGAAGCGGCAGCTCTCCCTCCGGCTTCGAGACCCGGATCCGCACCACCACTGACAGCGGCGATGGTTACAATGCTCCCGCTGCTACCCCGGCCCCTGAGGATTGGTAAATGTTTGAGCACTTACCTTAGTAGATCTAGGTAAGGTAGTGATTGATGCTTCTCAATTTGGGTTACAGCCATTTCAGATTTACACAGAAATAACTCAAGAATCTTCATGATCTTCAGCTCCAGCTGAGGCAGTCCTTTCAAGCCGAATTCTGGCTACCCATAGCGTTCAATGGTGCACCTCCGCTTGTATTACCCACGACTTCTTCATCCGCTTCTCTAACCACGCTGGGTCCATCATCCCCGCACTCAGCCAGCTGATCACTGTCGCCATCGGTACGAGCGTTCAATTCCATGTCATCCATTTGAGCGGCAGCCTCGCTGACGCTCGCGGTGTCACTGTACGCGTACCCATTCAAGCCCTCCGGCAGTGTGGTAAACGTATTCGAGTCATGGTTCTTTCCGACGGGTCGCTTCTCTTCCAGTGTCCTCTTCACATCATCATGCACGTTCTCCGTAATCTTTTCGAGCAATCGCTGGGTCTTGGCGTCGGGGACGCCAGAGTCGGCACACTCAAAGACTCCCGGGAGACGCCAGTTTGGATAGAGGTTGAAGTGACTCTTCCTCACTTGCATGCGATCAGGGTGTGCGCTGAAGTAGTAGTGACAGAGCCTGCAAGTGGGCTTGCTGCTGCCAATGTATTTCCAGCTGTTAAAGTAGTCTCTTGGATGCTGCAGATCGCGGCTCAGCAGATAGCTATGAACGAGTACTTCGGCGTGAACACGCGGCCTAAAGGTGCGCTTGCCGATCTGCCTCTGGATGATGCTATCCAGTCCGAACTTTTGCATTTCGACCGCGTGCTGAAGGAACTCTTTTCGCTCCTCTTCTTCATCAACTGGAATCATGTTCTCAATGATGGATGCCGCGGTGATAGACTTGGATTTTGTCATTGGTCTGGCAGCATCTTCGCTGGATGGGACAGCAGTGAACTTGAAGTCGTGAAAGAGCTTCGGTAGGCGTTCATGAGTGCCAATTATGGCATCTGCCGCCTGGCGGAAGGAGAGTAGTCGTCCAAGATAGTGGCGCAACTCGGACCAGGACTTCGACTCGGAGATTTCTCCATCCTTGGCGTTTCTCATTATCGCCTGATCGATCTGGGTGTTCTTGATAGCCACAACCCCTTTGATTAGCTTTTCGCAATCGCACAGAACTGCACTTGGATTAGCTATGCTGCTGATTTTACTGAAAGAATTCACCACACTCCCTTGTTGACTTACACTTGTCTTGGACGTTTCCAGATGTTAGGTCCCTTGGAAAGTCTGCCTTCTTCTTCAAATTCAGAAGTTCCTCCTTCAGGCCTTCAATGAGGTCAGTGCGAACTTCACAGACAGAAATCAATCAGAAATGGCTCTCTTACCTTCTGAAGCATCCCGTCTGTCACAGTCGTCAATACAGGCATCCAGGTATCTGCCGACATTGTCTAGGTAGATGCCTAGACGTGGCAGATTGAACAGCAGTATCTTCCACAAGACCTGCTTGGCGAGGGGCCTGGGCTTGAGACCAGTAGGATTCTTGCCCACAAGAGTAAGTGTATCTTCAGCGAACTGCTGGGTCTCAGACAGTTCGTCGGCGTCTCTGTGGTTCGACGCGAAGACAAACTCTGGGCCGTCCTCCCCCTCGAGGACAGTGAATGAAGTTACCGTCTTGCCGCCACGTTCATTATCGCATACCTGAGCTAGCTTCTCCACAAAGGAGCGGAAGACCTGGGCCTGCGTCGCAAGGGAATCGTTCTCCACCTTCGGAGTCCCGTTGAAAACATCTTGACCGGCACGGCAAGCTACTTGCAAGGCATACTCAAGAACAATAGGCTCGTAAAAGAGCCGGCGGTGGTCTACGCCAGTGGGCTGGACCTCGGACGTGGCTTGTTGGTTCATTATTGCGGCGGTCTTTAAGACGTGTAGATGGGGGGACTCAGTAAGACTGAGAAGATGGAATGAATTTGTTAAAGGGAGATGAGTGTGCTGATGGATGAAAAATAGGTTTGAGTTGTGTGACGGAAGTGGTCAGGAATCCGGGCTTTTTATATCTGGAAGACGCTTCTATTTCACGATTTCATCATCACTGCCATATCCAATCACTAAGTGACTAGCACACACCACCTAGAAAGGAATGCACTCCCGAAAACTTGACGTTTTTCCACTTTCACTGACGCAGCACCAACATCGATTCCATGAACATCTACATGCTTCGTGATATCGCATGATGCTGTTGGAAGGACACTCGGATTATCCAATCGCGTGTAAGCCTCAAAATCAGGCGAATAGTTACCAGTCTTGAGAGCCTGCCTGGCCCCCTTGCTACAGCAGAGCCACACCCATTTCGTGACCCGAGGCAATGAGGCGGTCGAACTTGGGTCGCCACGCAGGAATATCCGCCGTGACAGGCTCAACATCATTATCACCGGCCAGAGAAACCATTTGCTCATTTCTGCATTAGCGTGAAGCTCAAATGTGAGGTTTGGCTATCCACACCCAGTTCAGGGATAGATATGGACACATACTAAATGCAGAGAGATTCAGATGTCTATCTCCAGCATCTAGTAAGGCTTTAAAACACGGGCATTGTACTATCTACATGGTATTGGGATGGCATTACAGATAAAAAGAAGGAAAAAGAATTCACCACCGGTGTGGCTACATTTCTCGGTGCTCATGCTGGGGGTCGAACTGAACCAGCCTAGAGATGCGTCTGCTGTGCTAATGACAGGAAATCAGTCGATATGGCCTATACGGGGTCATTTTCACGGTAAATCCAGTTGACCTTGGACCGAATGCACATACACGGCGTCACGGGATTATTCACCGAATCTGGCGCGGCCCAAATGCGAATTGGCAGGCAGCCGGCAGGCAGCCGAAGTCAACTGGCGTCATTAACAGTTTGCCGCATATGTCGGCAGATCTTGGACCATCCAACATGAGATATGACACCGAGAAATGCCAACAAGTCTCCCCTGCTTCCTGACCTGCATCTGCACGAATTACAGTATGTCCCACTCACATAAGCTGAGAAACGATGAAACCCTCATCGGTCGGCCTCCCGCGTCTTGGAGGGGTCGAGTTCCGGCTTACCCTTTTTTGCTCGTTCTTATTCAAGTCATTCAAGCTGGGCGAAAAGAAGCGATTACGTCTCAGCACGAAAAGGTGCATCGTCAAAGGAGACGCAGAATTTGTTTATCAAGCTGATGTCATGTATTTGTTCCCCTCTCTTGGACATTGAATCCACTAATCTGAAATAGTATACAGGATCCAAGTTTGTGCTTGGAGAGGAAGCATGTTACTAGCTGAGAATGCATTGTTCTATGTCTCACCATTTGGTAATTACATCTATGTATCTAAACATGAGATCGTCCGACAGACTGGCTTCAGCTCATGTTCACCAAGTACGGATAAGTGCAAGGTAGTTGAGGTATTGAACCAATGGCCGCAATTGATGATAGCTACGTTATGATTTGGGATTGGATTCAGCTACGAGTGGCCTGAGATATTTTCAGCCCATCAGCCAGCCACGAGGTTACCCCTCAAATTGGCCGTGGACTCTACTAACGTTAGGAGAGCGCGTTTGCCATTCCGCGCGTCGGGCTCATGACCTGATCCAGACATGCGAGCACTATCACAGACATGTGTGGATTGAATACCTTTGTTCATTTCAGCTTCATCAGGTGAGAACTTGGACATTGGCCCGTTGTTTGCAGCGCCGAGTTTTTATGCCCACCGTGTCATTCTACCACAGTTGAGAATATTGGCGCTAGCTTTTGGTGTTCAATTAGCTGGCCTGAAACATCTTCTCAACCGAGCAGGGCCTACATTAGCGACGAACGCTTGAGGTCTAGCAATAAGATTCGGCAAGGGGTCTAGTGGTGGATCATTGTAGCAGCATGCCACTCAGCTGGATCTCAAGTAATGTATCGTTTGATAGACTGATAAGCGAGAAGCTATGTAAACCGTCAAGATCTACATCTTAATCTTAGCCTTGTTCATTGATACCATACCTTTTAGTTTGTGAAAACTACTTAGCCAAGCCAAGCCCCATACATACTGTCAAATTTCTTATTTGTTTTATGCTTCTGCCTCTGCTGCCTGCTCGGGCGGTTCTCGATATCGTTTGCACGGTATTAACACACAGCATTAGTGGATACTCCCACTGTCTCGTTAGACTGTCAAATTTCTTATTACGGTCATAAATTTCGATTCATTCAACACATTGAGATGGACCAAGAAGATAAACCCAAGCTTTTCACAGACATTCGAGATATCCTTTACCTTTGGATTCAAAACGATGGCGCAACAAAGACTAACGGGCTAGTCAGCGGCGACCGTGTACTGTACACAATCCAAAATGCCTCTCAAGAGAAGGGTGGCTGGGAGGGTTGGGCTCAAGTCGAGATCGCCCACTTCATCAAGTCAAGCTACCCAAATCTGAGAGTTACTCGCGAGGACGGTGTCTATGATGGCAATACCAAGCGATCAGATCTCGTTCTGCAGAATGGCTCCGGTATCCGCACCATCATCGAGCTCAAGTGCGAGCGCGGCAACGTGTCCAGCCCAAAGTGGATTGTGGACGAGGTCATCAAAGACGCTGAAAAGCTTCAGAAGACACTGAGGGACGAGTTTCTGCCAGCCATATATTACGCAGTCGGCATCGCAGCCACGAAGGGTGCAGATAAAGAGATCCAGAGCGCTCTCGATACTGGCAAGATTCCGCGCACGGGGTTCTATTGTAAGAATTCCAAGATCTATGTGTTCTGGGCAGAGAGTCAGGTCGCTTGATGGGAAGCGTGGTTGCCAGAGAATCAGCGCTAAGTTGCCCCGGAGTTGCATCAACCTCGAGTTTGTCCTTTAATGGAACAATACACAAATAATGGCATACGTCATTGACGCGACCATTCCCTGGAAGGACCTGAAGTGATAGCTCAGGTGATGACTTTTCGAATGGCTTCATCTTTGATTAGGTATGGGAAGTGAGTGATATCAACGCACTCCGATCTTACAAGCCGTAGAGTAAGTACGTGGAAAGTCCGAACCATGGCCTCGGAACTGCCAAGAGCCCAAGACGTGTCAAGGAATACTGAGACCATTTCTTGTGTCTGTGGCGAAGGACGCGAAGCCGTAGTGTGAGAGCAAGCACTGCGAACGTACGGCCAGGCAGAGACGCCTCCAAAGCCACGTCCGCCACTCACCATGAATCGTGACAAAAATTTTCCTTGCATCATGTTCCGAAAGCAGGTCTCGAAAGCTCAAAAGGAATGATAGAACAGCTGAGTAATAACATCTGAGTGAGCTTTTTGTGTTGAGGATTCCAATCAGATCGGGGCATGGGAAGATTTACGAAATATTCTACAAGACTATGGCTTATTACTTGATTGAGATCAATGAAGATTGCGAGACAGGCACTGCAGAATATACCAAGCCGTCGGGTGAAACGAGGCTATGTTACAATGAGTAGGATGGGAAGGATTGAAATGTATTAGATGGTATTGACATGACCAGTACATTAGGTCGCGAAACTTTTCCGTGTTCAGGTTTCTTTAGGATAATACAAACACAATGTATTTCAAGGTAAGTCACACTCGCAGTTGTCAAAGATGTGTAACAAGTACATGGAGTAACGTTCATAATTCATTTTCTTAAGACTCCCAACAGTGAGCATTGGAAGCACATTCATCTAGCTAATTACAATGATTCAACCACAACACCCAATGCCGCACTAGCTTCCTTGATCTTCTCCTCCTGCCAAGCAGCACTCTCCTCCGGCAGGACGAAACTTGAGAAGGCCTCGCCAGCATTTTGGATGAGAGTCTCGATACCCGGGCCGTTCGTGAAGACTGTAGATCTCACAAACCGAGAGCCGTACTCCAATGTGAACGCCTGTCCTGCAGAGACCAGGAGGGTCTGGCCCTCCCGGACCTCAGTCCATGATCCAGACTCCTTGAGCTTGACTCTCAGAAGACCCTCCTGGACACAGAAGCAGTGGTCCACCTCGGGGAACGTCAACCACCGAGCAAGCGGGGACTTCTCATATAGCTTGGAAGACTCGAGGCTGGTGATGGCGAACTTGCCGCTGCACTGGGAAGCGTTGATGAAGGGTCTGGAAAGCACACCACCCAGGATGTATCTGGGGCCGGTGTTGGCGCGGAGAAAGTACGGCTCCAAGGGGCCGGGGAGAACATTTTCTGACTCTTGCCAGTCTGCGACTTCAGGAGGGGTGTAGTTGCGCTCAAAGTTTACGTCGAACCGATCCTTTGCGGCCATGACCTTGGGAATCAACAGGCTCTTCAGGTCACGGTTGTCATTTTCTGGCACAATGATACCCTCATACTGCTCCGCGACGTAGCGGAAGAAGTCAACCCAGTCACCCGGTGCAACCAGCCCGAGGGTTTCTGTGTGAGGCCCGAGAAGCTCAGGGTTGTGTACAACTTTCTGTCATCGAATTAGCTGCGAACGCCACAAGTGCGCAGTGTTGGCGAGACTTACAGGGGGAACATAGGCGAAGTCGCCAGGACCCATGATTCTGCACTTGTCGCCGTTCCATAGCTTCAGGTATCCCTTGGTCACTAGGAAGACGTCGTGCGCCTCGGCGTGCCAGTGGAAGCCAGGCGCATCAGAGAGGACGGCACCGCTTGAGAAGACGGCGATGCCACCGTTGGTCTGTTTTGACGAGGCCAAAATTCTGAAGACACCCTTGCTACCGGGGATCGTGACGCGCTCACCCTCGAGCTGGTCGATAATGTAGCTCGTCCTGGCATCAGGAGGGGTGGAGAGAACGGGAATGCTCATGTTGGGCAAAGTGATTGTGGAATTGTCCAATCAACGAAGAGAGAATGGAGATGCTGGGTAAGAGAATGTGAGTGGGGGCGTTTGTCAAGGGTCTAGATCTCTGGATCGTGGACACACAAGTTGGAGACTTTGGAGTTGTTGAGGGGGTTTGCTGAAGATGGGCTCTCTTCACGTTCCGGGGATGCAAGCGGCGCCAGTCCAGCCTTTTACAGAGCTTCGCTTCCCCGCATTCTAACTCTACTTCGAGTTCGACGGGAAACTATTTGACGCCGCCCACCGGGACCACATGTTTTGCTGCCCCTCGTAAAGGCCCCCCAATTCGGCTCGTGAGTGCGGGAGTTCGGATATCCCGGGAACGGATCCGGAACAGCCCCGATACAGTAGCGGAAATTCCGCTGTTTCGAACAATCGTCAATGGGCGTAGCCAACGTTCACGTCGCCACGCGGTCTCCGCCGCCCGGAAGCCCGGCTCGGTGGGAGATTCTAGCGAGCCTCGTGGGCCGCGTCTCCAGTTTGCTTCCCATTGTTAAGCTATCTAGGTTGTCCCCCGCCACATCATTACCCCGGACTTTCTTTGATTGCACTTTCTGCGTCTCTCTAATTATCACTGCCGCTGTCACTGCTGCTGTCATTCCTGAGGTCACGGCCACTAAGACAAAGCCACCTTACCAGCCAAGAACACGACAAACCAACAACTTTTTCGTCATGGCAAGCCCAGCCTCTTTCCGTGCAGTCTACAAGACCATAGGGTCACAAGAGATCGATGTGGATGTCTATGCCCCGCCGCTTGGGGAAACCAACAAGGCAAAATGTCCGGTTGGTATGTATACTCACAACCCTTGCATGGCGGGCCACACCAAAGGTCCAATGGAGTCACTTCGGATTAACAGTCGTGTGTCTAGTCATCAATATCCACGGAGGCGCATTCCATCTCGGCTCCTCCAAGATGATCAACAAGGACCAAGTAGCTGACTGCCTTAGTAGAGGCTGGATTGTCATAGCCCCTAATCACCGTCTGTGTCCTCAAGTCACGCTTCTGGATGGGCCGATGAGAGATTGTCGTGACCTCCTGGGATGGGTGTATGATGGTGGTCTTCAGAAGGCCCTTGACGCTAATGCTGATGGATCATATGCCGTTGACACTGACCATGTCTTTGCATTTGGGACGTCGTCTGGCGGCACTCTATCCCTTGCCTTGGTAAGTTCATGCAACTTAGTGTCTGCAAGTCATTACAGTTACCAGATTCGTCCATGCTAACCCATGGTCACTTTACAGGGCTTTGGAGTTGACCGCCCCGTTGCTGGTATTTATGACATGTACGGGCCTAGCAACTTCACCCACGCGTTTTGGGAGAAACCATTGCCGCACGTAGCAGCAAAATTGCCCAAAGGTCTCACACAGGAATTCTTGAACAAAGTCTTTGACGAAGACCCAGTGCCAATTCTTGGAGGAGTGTCACTGGAAGGTCAGGCGCCAGGGCCGCCCAACTTTGATGACCCGAGACAGGCGTTTGCGATGACACAAATAGCCACCGGCAATGTCATGAACACCATTGTTCCTGACAAGAACTGGGATGCGGTCGACCCCATCAGAAACATCACTCCGTCTTTCCCGCCGACTTTCATCGTGCATGGACAGGCGGATACTATGGTGCCCCTTGAGCTTAGCCAAGATTTGATCGAGGTGCTGAAGGAAAAGGGGGTCAAATCTGAATTGAGGGAAATTCCGGGCGAGGAACATACGTTTGCCGCCAAGATGAAGGTGGGATCCCAGACTTGGAATCTTCAGAGAGAAGGCTTTGACTTCTTGGAGAGCTTGGTCAAAAAGTGAGCCAGGGGCAAAAAGGAGTTAGTTGAGCGGAAGCTAAGGTGGTCAATATGAAATGGACTCATCTGGCTCAAAAACTAACTACATGAAAATTGCAAATTCGATTGAGAAATGTGGTTGGCTGCGCCAAGTGAGACTTACAGCTTCCTTTGAGCCGTAAATCATCCAAACTGTCAGTCATCGAGTTCATGCATGAAGTTCAGACTATACGAAACTCAATCGTGAATTCGGATGATCCGTACGTGTGTCTGTAGTTGTAGTGTGTCTCGGTCGAATTGACAGCGGGTAGTAAACAACGCAAAACCTGACACGCAAATCCAATACTCGACCAAGAAGAGAAATACTATGGATAACATAGTGCATCAGCTGCACACTTACGTGTCAAGCGTGACAGAAACCTAAGCCACCCACTCTTTCATGTGCCGGTCAAAACGAGTTAGCACCATCCGGGGTCCCCGCCACCCTAAAGTGTTGAAGAAAGTCTGGGGTGCAGCCGGGAACTCCGACCCTTGCCCGGATCGATCCCGGTTCCAGCGTTCGCCAGGAGTCCTCAGTGCAACTGTAAAGTCGGTCAAAGTTTGATATAACCCTCCGAGCCTACTTTATCCATCAGCCCATCTGAGTTCTGGCATCGACTGACAGACATCCCATCCCATCAACATCCTCAAATCGGCAACCCGAGTCACCGACATCCCGTCTTTGACAACTTCAGACCTCTTTGCCACCCCTGCCACTGTGCATTACGCTGGAACGTAGGCACATTTTCGAACCAGACTCCGGGTCGGCGTAACTCCATCGCCGACAGAAGCAACCCAGCAACGACCAACCGGTCGTAGAGTTCTAATTCACAATGGACTCGTCACCTACTTCGCCTCGCGATGACATTCGCAAGAGCGATGTTATAATCGACAAGGTCGACGTTCAGCACAATGAGGAGGCTTTGCGTGAGGCTGATCGCCACATGAGCCCCATGAAATGTCTTTGGGACAACCCAAAGGTGTTGCTGTGGACTATCTACGCCAACTGTAAGTAATTCTTCTTGATGGAAAACTTGTCAACTTAACTAACTCTGGGAATTCAGTTGGCTCAACTTTGATTGGTTTCGAAAACTTGGCACTCTCAGTATGCTTGGCCATGCCGGCATTCCAGTAAGCCCCTCAAACCCCTGAAGACTACAACGAGTAATCACAAACTAACTACTGTGTTTCTTTAGGATGACCTTTGCATCTGAAGTCAATGGAACACTCATTATTCCCGCCTACTGGCAATCTGCTTGGAGTGCGATGTACAATGTCATGATGTTGTTTGGTTCTCTCTTCGCCGGTTATATGCAAGATTGGTTCGGTCGTCGCTCCGTCTTCGCTTTGGCATCAGTCATCGCCTCTGCCGGCATTGCCATCAGCTACATCTCCGTGACACCACCGGAATTCTTGGGCGGCAAGATTGTCACTGGATTTGCTGTCGGTCTCTTGACTTCTACCACGCAAACCTATGTTTCCGAGATTGCACCCCTGCCCGTTAGAGGCATTTGCTTGTCTATCAACACCATCATGCTCGTAAGTCTTATCAACATCCTACAATAAGTATAACCTGAGGAACATAACTCTAACCGAAACGCAAACAGAACCTTGGCATGCTCAGTGCCATCGCTGCCAGCTTCTCCCGCGTTGCTATTATGGACAAGGCCGCCTTCCGTGTCGTCTTCGCCGCCGCATGGACATTCCCCGGCCTCATCCTCCTCGGTCTCCCCTTCGTTCCCGAATCGCCCACCTGGTTGGTCTTCAAGAACAAGCACGACGCCGCCCGCAAGGCACTCGAGAGACTCTCCGGCCCGAACGAAGATATCGATGCGCGCCTTGGCCAGATCATCGACAATGTCGAGACCGAACGTCGCCTGCAGATGGAGGCCGCTTCCTACCTGGACTGCTTCAAGGGCACCAACTGGAGACGCACGCGCATCATCCTCATCTGCTTCTACATCCCCCAGGTTGCCGGTGCCGTGCTGTCGTCCAACGCCCCTTACTTCCTCAACCAGACTGGTCTCTCTAGCAAGACTGTCCTCCTGCTCGTCCAGGTCGGTATCGCGGCTGGTGTCGTCTCCGCCATCGTCAACTCCATCATGATGGGCAGACTCCGCCACCGCCCGCTCCTGTTCTTTGGTGTCTCTATCTGCGTGGCCATGTATTTCACCATGGGTGTCGCTGCCGCGTTCCCCAAGACGAACGCCTCGCTCTTGACGATTGGAGTCTCGCTTGTCTTCACCTCCATCTCCTACGGACCCGCAGTGGGTGCCTCCATGGCCGTGGCCGGTGAAGTCTCCGCTTCAAAGCTCCGTGCCAAGTCGCTTGGTATCGGCTTCGCCTTCTCCTCCATCGTGTCCACCATTTGGACCATCATCCTGCCGTACCTCTTCAACCAGGACGAGCTTAACATGGGCGGTCACATTGGGTGGATCTTCTTTGTCATGGGCATTCTCATGTTGGTGGTTCTCTACTTTGATGTTCCGGGCACCAAGGGACGCACGTTTGAGGAGTTGGATATCATGTTTGAGCAGGGCATCTCGGCGCGCAAGTTTGAAAGCCACAAGCTCAACCTGGGTCCTGTGGACACCAAGTGAGTTGTATGTGTGGCCGCGGCCCGCGGGATGTTGCCGACAGACGCGTGTGTGTGCGTTTAGTTATGGGCCTATCTCCTGTTTTGGGACGACTTTTGTTTTGAGTATCGAAAACTGTTTTGGTAGAGAACTGGAAATGAGGAAAAAAAACTCTTTAAGCGGGTCTCGCCGCAGTTGCTTCAAAAAAATCCTTGTGTCCTGCAATCGCTGAACATGAATCCACAATCGCTTGTTGATCAACCTTCTTTTGTGACAGTAAGTTCTGGACATCTGCACGTTTTCGGCCCTTCTCGATCGATGCAACACTGGCGGCAAAGCCGACGTAAACAAACCGGAATTCCCGGCTACAAGTGGGGATTCTGTAACCCCGCACAGAGGGGAACTCGACGTTAGTAAGCAGTAAAGAGTGAGAATGGCAGAAGGAGTTGACTCGAATTGACCGGATAGAAGGCATGGATGGGTCAGTCTAGGGAGCAGAGAAGCAGTGAATACTGATGCTCAATGTTCGTCTGATACAACCCAGGAGTAGGAGAGAGATGAAATCGAATGGTAATGGTT